AGAAAGGTGCTTTACCCTCCGGCCGTGAGGAAGTGCACCCGGGCCGCCTTGTTGGGGACGCTCGCAAGGCAAAAAAGACTCCGATACGTGAAGCGAAACGGTGCCAGAGGCCTGGCTGGGAGTTACTGCACCTTTGATACTGTGGGGAGCTGCCCTCTGCTATCATATGGAGAGCTGCAGGCAGAGGGGAAAGGAAGGCTAAGTTCTGGTCATGTGAGGCTTCGTCAAGATAAATGCATTTTAGCTTTTATAGTTTTCCATCCTCGGTTGAATTTGTTCGTAAAACTTTTTTGTTTAATCTGTTCTTGTGACATTAGCATAACATTTAGGGAAGGAGAAACTTCCTGTTCTCATCTGCAGCCCCATCAAAATGGGGAAGCTGTAGAGTTGTTGGAAACTGCTAGGGAAAATGTTTAAGGATTTGTATCTACGCAGTATGAAGAATTGTCCATCAATACACTCTATAAAGTGCTGAGCATTTGTCTTGTATTGCAGCACCCTGCTTGTCACCCTGCATGTCACCATGATGTAAAGGATATATTTGTCATGTGTCAGTTTTCTTACACAAGTTGAATGTTGTGCAGGCTCATCATACCTTTATAGTGAGTAAAGGATATTTGAGGTCTGACTGACTAACATATGTAAAGCATACCACTTTGTTATATGGAAGGTATGGGAGTGGCTGGGGAGCTGCCTGGTGGAAAAGGACCTAGGGGTGCTGGTTGACAGCTGGCTGAACATGAGCCAGCAGTGTGCCCAGGTGGCTAAGAAGGCCAAGGGTATCCTGGCCTATATCAGCAATAGTGTGGTCAGCAGGAGTAGGGAAGTGATCGTGTCCCTGGACTGGGCACTGGTGAGGCCACATCTCGAATCCTGTGTTCAGTTTTGGGCCCCTCATTACAAGAAGGACGTTGAGGTGCTGGAGCATGTCCAGAGAAGGGCAAGGAAGCTGGTGAGGATTCTGGAGAACAAGTCTTATGAGGAGCGGCTGAGGGAACTGGGGCTGTTTAGTCTGGAGAAGAGGAGGCTGAGGGGAGATCTTATCGCTCTCTACAACTACCTGAAAGGATGTTGTAGTGAGGTGGGTGTTGATCTCTTCTCCCTCGTAACAAGTGATACGAGAGGAAACGGCCTCAAGTTGTGCCAGGGGAGGTATAGATTGGCTATTGGGAAAAATGTCTGTACTGAAAGAGTGGTCAGGCATGGAACAGGCTGCCCAGGGAGGCGGTGGAGTCACCATCACTGGAGGTGTTCAAAAACATGTAGACGTGGCACTTTGGGACATGGTTTAGTGGGCATGGTGGTGATGGGTTGATGGTTGGCCTTGATGATCTTAGAGGTCCTTTCCAACCTTAATGATTCTATGATTCTTGAATGAAGTGTCAGGTATAGAAGCCAGGTTGTCTCTTTAAGTCTTATCTGGAAACAAAAGAAGGTAAGATAATAATGAGAGCCTCTGTAACTTTGGTTTTTTTCTATGAAAACTTTTTTTTAGGTAATGTAAGCATTTCAGTTACACACAAGAGAGGAAACAGACATGTCAGCTCTTTGTCCACCACCGTCTCCTGCAGTTGCTAAAACAGAAATCTCTTTGAATGGCGAGTCACCTTTATTAGCTGCAACTTTTGCTTACTGGGACAATATTCTTGGCCCCCGAGTGCGGCATATCTGGGCCCCAAAGACAGAACAGGTACTTCTCAGTGATGGTGAAATAACTTTTCTTGCTAACCACACCTTGAACGGAGAAATACTTCGGAATGCAGAAAGCGGTGCAATAGATGTGAAGTTCTTCGTCTTGGCAGAAAAAAGGGTAATCATTGTGTCATTAATCTTTGATGGAAACTGGAATGGGGACAGAAGCACATATGGTCTATCAATTATACTTCCACAAAGTGAACTGGGCTTCTACCTACCGCTTCACAGAGTGTGCGTGGATAGGTTAACGCATATTATAAGGAAAGGAAGAATATGGATGCATAAGGTAGGTTTATTGTTCATTACTAAAAACAGTTGTCCATGTTGTCTTGAGCAAAAGCAAGAATTAAGGTTCTGTGACACCTTTTATCTAGCAATCCAGACACAGAAACTCAGAGGAGGCTGACCTGTCTACAAGTATACAGTTTTGCAGGTTAAAAGTTATCCATATGTCAACAAATTCAAGGCTGGGATTTTTTGCTGCATGATTTATCCTGGTAATATTATATAACCTATACCAGGCTATCTGGGTGAAACAGGTATCCTGTACAGTTTTTCATCTCTCATACAATTTGATGTAAATTGTTGCTTTTAACTGTGTTAATTAGTGTATTTAAGTTAGGAAGAATTGTACATGTACAGTGTTTGAAATCATTGTTTTCACTGTTGAGGTCCAGAAAAGGGACCTGATGCAATTAATGTCATTGTTACAGTTCATTTTTCAAAATAAGAGTATCAACAAGCATTTTAGCAGGTATTAAAATTGTGCAAAACTAATGGGAGAACCATGAAAATATATCTACTTTAGTCCAAATATTTCTACTTTTAAAATCTAAAAAGGAAAACATGCTAAATTTTTCTGAGGAATTGCAACTCTTACCTTTGGGTACATTATGGATATTTCCTTATTAAGTGAAAATTGTTATGTATTTTTATTTAAAATAAATAATATTCTAATAATAAAAATGAAAATCCCTGTTGTCTTCATGGAGTACAAGTTGTCTTAGAGCAGCAGATTGCATGCCAGCTGTAATGTGTATGGTGATGCATGTTTGTCTGATAAAGGTTTTGTTCCTCTTCTGTTTTGAGACCTCTGATCAACATACTTTAAACTTCCTTTTAGAGTGCTCTTATCTGAACTAATTAAGATTCCAGAAATAATCAGCTGATGTTAATTTTTGTGGTGGTGTTTTCATTTTGCTACATGAATGAACAGCATTGATTTTTGCTGTATTGCTTGATGATGGCTGGCAGTGTTTTCCATCACATTGGCCTTTGATACTTTTAGGGTTTATTTTTCAGGGGGAGGGTAGGACAGAAAGTTAATTTTCAATATAGTAGAAACACAAGTATTTCATTCCTATTCTAGTCTTCTGAAAGCCTGCTGGATGTTAGTGCTTTTGACATAAGTGAATGCTATCTCATGTTTTTGATTATGTTGCCTCTCAGTCATTCAGTGTCCTTCGTACTGACTTTTAATGTGAGTGTTCAAATAGAAATTGTCCATCATTCTTAACTACAGTACGTCTTCTCTCTTTTGAACATTGTTCCATATCCGTATGTTTCCACAGTAGAAATAGCCCTCAGGTGGCTATGATTTGGTCATTTGAGAATGACCAAAAAAAATGTTTTCTACTAGTTTCCTCAGAAATTAGTCATGAAGGTCTTCATTCTTTTCCAGATGTTCTTGAAGCAGATAGTTCAACTGGGTTAGTTCAGACAGTGATACATTCTGAAATAGACATTTATTGTCTGTCTTTTCTTTTTTCTTTTGAGGAAGATCAAAGATCCCTGCATATATCTGCAGTTCTGCAGCCTTACCTAGAAGAGAGAAAACTGCTTTAAAAATCTAGATTAAAATTTATACATGAGTTGTAGAATGATAATATTGAATTAAAAAAGGCTCATTTTGTAGTTTGCGTTTTGAGGCAGTTCAGCAACTATGGCTACAACAGAACAAAAAAATGTTGAAGTCATATCTGAAAGGAACTATGTATTTGCTCTGGAATTTGTAATGGTTGTGGTTACCAGCTCTCATGAGTTCTGTGTAGAGCCAGACAACAGTTTCAGCTAGACTTTAGCAGAGAAGAAACCTTCTGAACTCAGGACTAGGAGAAACATGAAACAGTGTTCAGACTGGCAAAGACAGACAAGCAACTCCAAGCAAGTCATCTATATGGCATTATAAATCCCTTTAATCTACTTCAATTTTACGTTCCAGATGTTTGTTATATTTTTAAAAAGAAGCGGCTTACACCTTTTGCTCAGCCTTATCTTCATGAAGACTGACTTCTTTTAAAGCAAAAGATCTTCATTGTCAAAGATGTCTTACTTCACTGACACTGAACACAAGGATGGAGGTGCCCCAAAGGAATCTACCTCATTCCAGTGTTGTTTTTCACCGATGCTTCTTCTAGATGGTTAGACAAGTTTTATTACTGTTTTAGGGCAAGTTACTGTAGCTTGTTCCCTATTCATCTACTCAAAGAAAGTTATGTAAACTCTTTTTCCCATTTGATCAACTTTGAGTAGTTCAGTGACAGGAAACTAATAAGTAACCAATAAAATGCAATAACCTGCCAGCATCTAGCAAAAGATATCATTAGTTCTCGCAGCATCTTCTATTTTTTGTGTCTTGTATTGATTGTTCCAGTGATTAATGACGAATTCTCTTTGTGAACAATAACTTGATTCCATTGTAAGTTGCATTTTGAATGCAGTGTGCTACTCAGCTGCTGCTGAGTCTGTTTTGAGAACTTTGTCCAGTCTCTTGTACACTGTGTTTTGTGTATTTTATTACGGTTTCATGTCTCCTGTACTTGGTTATATAACAATGTTATTAAGACTTGTCAGTGTCTCAAGATGTGGAAAATAAAAAGTCCTAGTTTCCCTACCCTCCCCAAACAAATAATTTTTCTCATTTTGGAGACTGCATTTTTCTCTTGCTGCATCAGGAACCATCAGTCTGTACCTTATCCATTTGAAAATAAAAATCCATACATAAAGTGGAATTCTGCACCATAATCTGATCATTTTTCATTTTCTTGATCTATAATGAAGAAACTTAATGTTTTGTTATTGTCATCACACCCTTCCTTTCCTGCCTCTCCTACCCAAGCATGTGAGAGGTGTGGTGGGGGACAGAGTAGGGAGCATTGATCTGTTTAAAAT